GGGAAGTATAGGGAGTGAGAAGTGCAGGTAGGGGTGAGGCAGAGGGGAGTCCAGATGAGACTATGGGAGAGGGGTGAACTGGTCCAGACACTCCCCTGATGTATGTCTCAGCAGTGAGAGGCTGAGCCTGGAATGGAGACCAGCTCTTAACAGTGACTCCAGGATTGTGGGTAAACACGAGAGAAGTCCCCACCAGGGGCAGGACTGGAAAGTGTCCTGTGCTCTTGTCCCAGCACACTTGAACAGAAGCACTGACTCGGTGTGTTATGCACATTATTTCCAGGAAGTTTCTGAGAAACAGAGAGATACTCCCTTTGCTTCATGAAGCCACTGTTAGTAGCCTTTTGCATTGGGCTGGAGGAGCCAGAGTCTACCCCACCCAAAGGACATTAGAATTAGTTTATCTTGAGTGTCATTTGCAAATTCCAAGTGAAGACTAAACTTTAGGCAGTGGTGATGTGAATGAAAATTAGGATGAGTTAGATGAAAGTGAAGCTGGGAGGGTGAATTGTTGGTCCTTGACAATATTTCTAGGAGCTTTGTGTTGCATTAAACTGGGGCAGTCTACCCTACACCCACGTTAAATAGCATACTCCCTAATATGGATTGATTTTTGGCCCCCTAAAAAAAATGGTGTTGTAAATCCTAACCCTCTACCTATGGTTATAATCCCATTTGGGAATGTGTGTTGTCATGTTAAAGAGATAGTATTGTTGTAAAGTGTGTCTTAAGTCAACCCACCAGCTGCTCCAAGGGAGAAAGATGTGGCAGTCAGCTTCTGTAAAGATTTACAGCCTTGGAAACCCTAGGGGGCAGTTCTACTCTGTACTATTGCATCCCTATGAGTCAGAATCTTCTTGAAGGCAGTGGTTTTCCTTTCTCCCCAGGGGGTGTCTTAAGTCAATCTCTGTTGAGATGTAAAGGAGTATATTGAGCAAGCAAGTAAGCACAAGTGGGGAAAGACAGTGCCACGCCACAGGAGATCTCCAAGGAACCAAGAAAGAGAAGCTGAAGAAAGACAAAACCTTCCCCCACAGCAAACAGAGAGAGAAAGCCTTCTCCTAGAGCTAGTGCCCTGAACTCGGATTTCTAGCCTCCTAAACTGTGAGTGATGTAGTGGTCAAGAACTATGGCTCTTAACCAAAAGGTCAGCTGTTGGAATCCACCAGGCACTCCTTGGAAATCCTATGAGGTAGTTCTACTCTGTCCTATAAGCTCGCTATGAGTCGGAATAGACCCGACGGCAATGGGTTTGGCTTTTTGTTTTAAACTATGAGAAAATAAATTTCTCTTTGTTAAAGCCATCCACTTGTGGTATTTCTGTTATAACAGTACTGGATAAGTATGACACTCCCTAATGAGTGGCAAAACGCTTTTTCCTTTCCTACTAATGTAAAGGCTGGCAGTGTGATCTAATCCAGCGGCACTGCAGAAGAAAGACCTGGAAATCTGTTTGCTTAAAGACTACAGCAGAGAAAACCCTTTAGGGTAGTTCTACTCTGTAATACATGGGGTGGCACTTAGTTGGAATTGACGCCATGGCAATGGGCTAATGTAAAATATCAGTTAGTTTTTCTTCCTAATCGGCATTTTTTTTTCCTGATTTTGTTTTCTCTGTCCTAGAGTGCTGCATATTCTGACACATACTGGAGGAAACAAAACAAAAAATTCTCAAGAGGAGGGTGGTATTGTGTCTTGTCAAAATAATTATAGTAATAAGTGCCATTCTTTAAAGATCCAATATTTGCCAGGCAGTTTGCCAGGTATTTTACATGCCTTGCACACATTACACCAGCACTAGAATATAGGGCTTATAAACCCACTTCACAGACGAAGAACCTGAAGCTCAGATAGTTTGGTAATGTGAGTTTGCAATTGTAGTACATGACGGAGCTGGATTAGACTCCTGGTCGGAATCCATCTGGAGCCCACACTCTTCCACTCCTCCCAGCCAGAGGCTTACATTGTGTCTCTTAATTCACTGTTCTTCTCTCCACTATAAAATGTATCTCAGGTAAGAAAATGAATAACACCCCAAGAACATAGAGTTGGACTATATAGCCCAAGGTATGTGAATACTATAATAAGTGAGAGGTATGAATAAGGGAAATAAAAGATAATATTCAGTGACAATATAATCATAGACAAATGCAATGCCAGAAAACCTTAAAAGATTCTTGGGGCTCATGAAATTATCCTGGAGAGCCCTGGCCTGTAAACAGTAGATCTATTAGAACCAATGTTACATGTGTTTCTAGGTGTGGCTGAAGAAGAGAAGTATTAGATCAGCGTGTTTTTCTGACCCACCACCTGTGTTGGGCTTCCTGTCTTTGGCTCCAGCTTCCCCACCTCACATCACTCCTCACTCTGGGAGAGGGTCCCATTCTCTGTAAGGTTTGCAGTAGCAATATTGCTGGAGTTTGCAAGCATGTGGCACTTCTCAGGAAGCCTTTAATCAAAGAGGAGCCAAGAAGATGACCCTAATGACTGAGAACAGAGAAGAAAAACACACCAGAATTTAGGGATCACACAAAGACCAGCAAGGCTTGTTCTCAGACCTAGAGGGCCCCAGGCAGGGCTGTCAGGTTTAACATCCCCTCCTCACTTATCTTCTCAGAGACTTGAGACTTTGGCCTAAGGACACCCTCCAAGTCAGAAGAGTGAGAACTCTCAGCCTCAGACAGATATCAAAGTGATGACCCTGAATGAAGATGATGGACGGACACCTCAAGAAGAGTGAGGTTCCCTAGAGTCATGGCCCCGCAGTTGGCCCTGAGAGATCTCAAACAGTCCAGGCTGGCTATGGCTCATCCTGACTTCCAAATCAGAGGTCCCAGGTCAGTGAAGACCTTGATCTGAGGGGATGGGCCTCAGATGCAGCAGAGTGGATTCCAGGACTGGTCAGGTTCAAGATGAAGATCCTGAATGAGGAATGAGGGAACCTCTGACCTCAGGTATAGGAGGTTACACAAAATCCCCCCTGCTGTCGGACCCGGGAGCCCCAGGGCAGAGTTGTCAGGATGAAGAGTCCCCTCAATTCTACCAGGAAGATATAAGGTCTTGTTTGCATGCCCCAGCTCTATAGATGGAGGAGACTCAGGCCCTCAAAGGAGTCAAGGTGAGGACCCTGAGTGTTATGAGTGGGTACCCCATCAGCAGAGAGAGCAGAACAGATCATTGCCTCTGTTCTTTGTCCTGGGAAGCCTCTGGGAGAGATGTCAGCCTGAGGTGACCCTCTTTTCTTCCAGAGTGGTCTCGGGGTGGGGGGAGAGTCTTGGTCTAAAGGGGCAGCCCCAGTTCTGCAGAGGGAGGAGTTTTGTCCCTAACTGGAGTTAGGTGTGGACCCTGAGTGCTAATGCGGCGACCTACAGCCTAAAAAGGATCTGCTGGGAGCACTGACCCAGCAGGCACTCCTGTGAGTCCCTGGGCAGGTATAGCATGAGGCACACCCTGACCTTCCCCTCTAGGGTCTCCCCCTGGTGAGGCACTTTTATGAGTCTGTGACTCAGGTCTGTATAGGTGGGAATCCCAAACTGATAGGTATCAAGGTGAGGATCCTGAGTGAGCAATGAGGGACCACTGAATTCAGAACAGTGGGGTCCCAAGAGTCCTGCCCTTGCTGTTGGCCCTCGGAGGCCCCCCCAACAGCCTTGTCTGGGTGGGACATGTCCTGACTTCCATCTAAGAACTACTGGAAAGGTGCAGTTTCTGGTGTGGGGGGCTGTGATCTCTCATCAGCAGAGGAGGGTGGAGTCTCAGGACTGATCAGGATTCAAGGTGAGGACTCTGAATGTGGACTGAAGGGTGGGGTCCTAGGAATGGTGCAGAGTCAAGCAGAAGACATGATTGAGCTGCTGGGGACCACACAACCCAAAATGGAGAGGGCTACCTTGAAACTTGATAATGTCATTGGCTCTTGGAGCCTAGGACAAAACTGGCAAGTTCAGTTGACCCTTGACTCCTGCCTAGAGGATCTCAGGGAGATGAGGGTCTTAGTTTAAGCCCAAGTTCAGCAGAGAGAGGAATCCCAGAACCACGTGAAAGTCAAAGTAAAAATTCTTTCAGAGGAAAGAGGGAATTAACCGCCCCCCATTCCCGAGAAGACAGGAGGCTGCACAAAGTCCCCCCTCTGCTATTGGCCCTGGAAAGCCAAGGTCAGAGGTGTTAGGCTGAGGTGTCCCCTCATTTGTTCCTGGTGAAGGGTGGTCTCAGGGATGGGAAGTTCTTGGACTAATGGGGAAGCCTATTCAGCAGAGGCAGGAGATTTGGTTCCTAAGAAAGTGAAGGTGAGGACACTGAGTGATGAGGTGACTCTTCCCAAAAATAAGGGGGAACCATAACCCTATCCCTGCTTTTAGACCTGGAGACCTGGACATGCTGACTTAATGAGTTGCCCTCAATACCTCCAAGGGCATCTCAGGGAAGTGAGGGACCTGGTCAAATGGGGCAGCCAAGGTGAGGACCGTGGTGAAGGACTGAGGCTTCCAAGGAACCCAAGACAGAATAGGCCCCACTACGTTGTCAAAACTGAGACACCCTGCCAAGAGTGGTGGCTGAGCTGATTCTTGAATTTCTCCTTATAGGGCCCAGAGTTATTTGAGGTGTCAAGTTCAGAGTAGCAGAGGGGAGGGGCCCAGGCCCTGCCAGCACTTGATATGATGTCCCTGAAAGTGTACTTAGAAGACCCCCTAATAACCCAGTAGAGTGAGTCCCTAGTGCCAGCCCCTGCTGTTACCCCATTAAGCCTCAAGCAGGGCTGGCAGGCTGCAACCTAAGCCTTCCTCTGATTTTCTCTACAGGGACCTGACCAGGACAATAGAAGCCTTGTGGAGTCCTAGAGCAGTGGTCTTAAAGAATCCTGCAGAGGCGGCGGTTGTCAAAGCCAAGAAGGCATCTCTCTGCTGCAGGGGCACACACCCTCTCAGTCTCCCTCCTCTAGTGGGCCCACATCACCTACCCTCCTTCCACACTTCTGCCTGCTGTCCTTGACCAGAGTCATCATGCCTTGTGGTCAGAAGAGTAAGCTCTGTGCCCCTGAGAAACGTCGTCAGGCCCAAGGCGATGTCTACGGTCTTGAGTGTGCTCAGGCCACTGCAGCAGAGGAGGATGGGTTTCCGTCTTCTTCCTCTCCTCCTTTTGGGGGTTCTTCCCGGAGCTCCCCTGCTGCTCACATTCCCCAGGGGCCTCAGAGAGCCCCATCCACCACCACTGCTGCTGCAGGTGCTTCATGCACAAGAGCTGCTGGAGAGGCCAAGAGCCAAGATGAGGGAGGTCCAAGTTCCTCTGTGGCCCCAGCCTCCAGTGAGAGGTCACAGAGACACCCTCTAACCAGGAGGTTGATCATGTTGTTGCAGTTTCTGCTGCACAAGTATAAAATGAAAGAGCCTGTTACGAAGGGAGAAATAATGAAGATCATCAATAGAAGGTACAAGGAGCACTTCCCTGTGATCCTGAGGAGAGCCTCTGAGCACATGGAGCTGGTATTTGGCCTTGAGCTGAAGGAAGTTGACTCCAGGGGTCAATCCTATGCCCTTGTCAGTAAATTAGAGATCACCAAGGAAGAGAATATGATTGGTTGCAGGGGGTTTCCCAAGAAACGGCTCATGATGCCTCTCCTGGGCATGATCTATAGGAATGGCAACTGGGCCACTGAGGAGGAAGTGTGGGAATTCCTGAATGTGCTGAGGATCTACAATGGGAAGAGGCACTTCATCTTTGGGGAGCTCAGGAAGCTCATCACCAAAGATTTGGTGCAGGAAACTTACCTGGAGTACAGGCAGGTGCCTAACAGTGATCCTCCATGCTATGAATTCCTGGGGGGTCCCAGAGCCCAAGCTAAAGCTAGCAAGACAAAAGTCCTGGAGCTTTTGGCCAGGATCAACCATACCAACTCCGGTGCCTTCCAAGTCCCCTATGAAGAAACTTGGAGAATTGGGGAGGAGAGAGGTACAGGCAGAGAATGGGCAGGAGCTGGTCCTAATGCCAGGGCTATGTCCCCTTTCAGGGTGAAGTCCAGCAAGTCCTGTCACCCTTAGTGAAGTCTGAGTCACATTCTTCCCATTGTTGTTGCAAATAGCTGTTAACCTTCTAAATAGAGGAGAAGAGATGGGGTGGAGGGAGCACATGAGTGTCTCCTTGTGTTCTGTTATACATGAGTAGCTGGTAGAGTTAGCTTGTTTTTTGTGTTTTCCAAATGTTGTTCCTTTTAATTGAACACTTATTTAGATTCAGAATGTAAATTCAGCCTCATACTTTTATTGGTGTTTTTCAGATTTAGGAGTAAGAGTTTTGTGTTGTGTAAAACAAATGGAAAATCCTTGAATCTTTTTCTGTGATCCAGAACTAGTTAATGTGATATGGGAATAGGGATACCCTTGGAAATATTAAAGAAGTTCACAACAATGAGTTGGGATCACAAGATAGAGGTGACAAAATATAAAAGGTGGTCAATTCTTGGTTTCCCTTATTCCTTTTGGTAAAAGTAAAACATACGTGTGCCTGGATTTGTGTAGCTTATTCAAGAATGTGGGAGAAAATAAATCATGATGATTCGACTTCTTGTTCACTGGCTCTTATTTTCCCCAAACAGTAACTGAGCATCTGCTCTTTGGAAGGCTTCATGCTACTACTGGGGACATTTAGGTAAAGGTGTCTCAGCCCCTGTGCATAGATTTTAGAGTCTAAGAGCAGCTATGAATTAAGGAGGAGGTAGAGATACTCTCCAAGACCTAAGGACTAGTAGAAAAGAAGTGAGCACTTCAGGGTTCCCTTTTGTGTAAATGCCCTGAGGCAGGGCAGTTTGGGGTCTTGGGAAACTCTGATCTCTCAGTGGGAGGGAATATTAAGTTAGGCTGCATGGGGTCAGCAATGGTAGGGGTGGGTAGAACGGGTAGGGGTTAGGTGGTGGGTGTCCAGATGAGGCTGGGGGTGGGGGTGAGCAGTGCAACATACTCCCATAATGTGTCTCAGCGTGGAGAGGCTGCACCTGGAATGGAAACCAGCTCTTTACAGTGGCTCTGGGATTGAGGGTAAACCAGAGAGAAATCCTCACCTAGGGCAGGACTGGAAAGTGCCCTGTGTTATTGTCCCAGCGCACTTGAACACATGCACTGACTGGGTGTGTTATGCACAGCGTGTCCGTGGAGTTCCTGAGAAATAGATACTCCCTTGATGTTAGGAAGCCACTGTTACCAGCCTTTTGCGTTGGGCTGGGGGAGCCAGAGCCCACTCCATTGAAAGGACATTAGAATGAGGTTATCTTCAGTGTCATTTGGCAAACCCCACGTGAAGACTAGACTTCTGGCAGTGGTGATGTGAATGAAAATTGGGATGACTTAGATGAAAGTGCAGCTGGGAGGGTGAGTTGTTGGTCCTTGACAATAATTCTAGGAGCTTTGTGTTGCATTAAACAGGGGTAGTCTACCCTACACGCACATTAAATAGCATACTCCCTAATATGGATTGAATTGTGCCCCCCCCAAAAAAATAAGTGTTGTAAATCCTAAGCCTGTTCCTATGGTGATAATCTCATTCACAAATTGGTGTTCTTTGTTATGTTAAATATACACTATTAGTGTAGGGCGTATCTTAATCAACCCACCAGTGGCTCCACTGGAAATAGATGTGGCAGTCTTCTTCCATAAAGATTACAGCCTTGGAAATCCTATGGAGTAGTTCTACTCTGTCCTATAGGGTTGCTATGTGTCGGAATCAAATCAACGGCAGTGGGTTTGGCGTTTCTTGGGTGCTTTTTTCTGGTTTTTTTTTGGGGGGGAGGTTCTTAAGTCAATCTCTACTGAAATATAAAAGAGCAGATTGAGCAAGCAACCAAGCAAGTAAGCACAGATGGGGGAAGACTGGTGTCACGCCACATGAGATCTCCAAGGAACCAATAAACAGAAGCTGGAAAAAAAAAAAAAAAAAAGACAAGGACCTTCCCCCAGAGCCAACAGAGAGAAAGCCTTTCCCTAAAGCGGATGCCCTGAAATAGAACTTCTAGCCTCCTAAAGTGTGAGAAAATAAAAATAAAGCTTGTTAAAGACACCCACTAGTGGTATTTCTGTTATAGCAGCACTAGATGACTTAGACACTACATAATGGGTGACAAAAAGATTTGCCCTTAACTACTAATCTGAAGGTTGGAGGTGGTGGCACCTCGGAAGAAAGGCCAGGCAATATGTTTCTGTAAAGATTACAAACAAGAAAACCCTATGGGGGCAGTTCTACTCTGTAACACATGGAGTCACATTGAGTGGAAATCAACTCAGCTGCAATGTGTTAATATGAAATATAACTTAGCTTTTCTTTCTAAGCAATTATTTTGTCTGATTTTGTTTTCTTTGTCCTAGAGCACTGCATATTCTCTGACATTTCCTGGAGAAAACAAAACAAAAAATTCTCAGAGAGGAGGGTGGTATTGCATGGTCAAAATAATCATAGTAAGAGCTGTAATTATTTAAAGACCCAATATTTGCCATGCACTTTGCCAGGTGCTTTACATGCCTTGCACACAATGCACCAGCCCTCGAAGACAGGGCTTATCAAACCCACTTCACAGACGAAGAACCTGGAGCTCTCAGAGTTTGGTAATGTGTGTGAGTTCCCAAGTCTAGTACATGACCAAGCTGGAGTAGACCGCTGGTTTGAGTTAGTCTGGAGCCCATACTGTTCCACCCCTCCAAGCCAGAGACCAACTTGGTATCTCTAAATTCACTTTTCTTCTCACTACTCCAAAATGTATCTCAGGTAATAAAAATAATAACTTTGTGCCCAAAGCATTGGGTTGGACTATATAGCCGGAGCTGTAAGAATAAATGAGAGGTATGATAGCGAAAAAGGAGCCCCGGTAGAGCAATGGTTAAGGGCTCAGCTGCTAACCAAAAGGTTGGTAGTTCAAACCCATCCAGCAGCTCCACAGAAGAAAGACCTGGTAACATGCTCTCATAAAGATTACAGCCCATGAGTCAGTTCTACTCTGTCACATGGGGTCGCTATGAGTAGAAATGAACTGGACAGCACCTAACAACAACATTAGTAAGAAAAAGATAATGTTTGATGACATCTATATATGCAATGTCAGATAACCTGAAAAGATCAGGGGCCCACAAAATCATTCTGGAAGGGCCCTGCCTGTAGAAAATAGATCTATTAGAAAACAAATCACATGAGTCTCTAAGTGTGGCAGATGAAAAGAAGGACTAGGTGAGCACTTTTTTTTTCTCTGACAGCCTATACTACCTCTCCTGGGCCTCCAGCCTTGTGCTCCAGCTTCCTTATCTCACATCACTCCTGAGACAGAGACCCATTCTCTGATTAAAAACTGCTCTAGTTTTTAATCAAAGATACAGGAGCCAAAATAGATTCCCCTATGTAGGAAGACTGGGGAAACCAACACCCCAGAGTATAGGAGTCACCCAGAGACAGGCTGACACCTACTCTCAGACCTAGAAAGCCCCAGGCAGGGCTGTCAGGCTAAGCATCCCCTCACTTATCCTTCAGAGTTCTCAGGGACTTGAGAGCCTTGGCCTAAGAAGGATGCCTCAAGTCAGTAGATGCAGGAGTCTCAGTCTCTGATAGACATCAAGGTGATGCTCCTGACTGAGGATGATGGAAGGACCCAGCCAGAACAGTGGGGTACCATAGAGTTCTGCACTGGCTGTCAGTCCTTGCAGCTTCAGAACAGTCCTGACTGGATGTAGCTCAGGGGTCCCAAGTCAGTGAGGACGTTGATCTGAGGGGAACAGCCTCAGGTCAACAGAGAATGGAGTCCCATGACAAGTCAAGTGTCAAGGTAAGGACGCTGAATAAGGAATGAGGGAACCACCCGCTGCAGAATAAAGGAGACGGAAGAGAGGACCTTGGTGTTGTGGAGACTGGTCCCAGATCTGCAGAGGGAGAAGATCAAGAAAAGCACTAACAGGAGTCAAGGTGAGGACCCTGAGTGTTATGAAGGGATCACCAATAGTAAGTAGAGCGGACCTCACAGAACTGAGCCTTTGTTTTGATCACGTGGAGGCACCAGGCAGTGCTTTCAGCCTGAAGTGCCCCCTCATTTCAGCACAAAGGGTGTCGGAGACGGAAGGCCTTTGTCCAAACTGTCCTAACTGGAGCAAGGTGTGAACCCTGAGTGCTAATGGAGTGACCTACTCCAAAAGAGGGTCTACTCAGAGTGCTGACCCAGCCGGCACTCCTGTGAAGCCCCAGGCAGGAGTAGCACGAGGCACGCCCTGACCTCCCCCTCTAGGGTCTCCGTGAGGTGAGGATCTTGTTCTGAGCCTGTGACTCAGGTGTGTATAGGCAGGAATCCCAGGCTCTGAAAGGTATCAAGGTGAGGACCTTGAGTAAGCACTAAGGGACCACCCACTCCAGAACAGTGGGATCCCATAGAGCCCGATCTTTGCTGTCGATAGTCGGAGGCCCCCCAACAGCGTTCGCCCGGATGTGACGTATCCTGACAGCCTGCCTTCTGCGACGGAAGTCCTGGAAGGTTTGTTCCTGAGGCGCACGGCTTCTAACCCGGGAGGGAGGAGTTGCAGGATTGGTCAGGAGTTAAGGTGAGGATCATGAGTAGGGATTGAGAGGATCAGCCACCCCAGAACAAAGCCTCCGCCCTACCCCGCCCCCTCCCTCAAGGTCCCGCTTCTGCTGTTGGCCCTGGGAGACTCCACCCGAGCTATCTGGCTAACTTTTGCCTGGAAAGTCTCAGGGAGGTGAGGGCCTGGTCATAGGAAGTGGGTTCTAGGTCTGCAGAGGGAGGAGTCTTGGGCCTATCTAGAGTCAAGGTGAGGACTGTGAGGACTAATGAGATGCAAAGAGGAAGCCCCACAAAGTCCTGCCCCAGATGTTGGCCCTGGGAGGCTCCACGCAGAGTTTCAGCCAGACATCTGCCTGAAAGGCCTCAGAGAGATGAGGACCGTAGTTTAATGGGGGCTGACCCATTCTGCAGAAGGAGTTCACCTAGTCCTTAACCGGAGTCGATGTAAAAATCCAGTATGATGTCTCAGGGAACCAAGCACCCCGTAACGGAGGAAGCCCTCCTCTCTCAGCCCTGGGAAACTCCAAAATAACTGTCAAGCTGAGGTGTCCCCTCATTTCCTCCTGGAGGAGGCTAAGGAGATGTGGACCTTTGTCTCATGGAGCAGTCCCAATTCTGCAGAGGGAGGAGACCCAGGGTCTAACAGGAATTACAGTGAGGACCCTGCATGAGGACTGATGGCATCACCCACCACAGAAAAGTGGAAGCCGCAGACAGTTCTTGCTTGCAGTCCTTGGAGGTGTATGTGAACCCTTGTTTCTTTGTGATGCCGTCAGGTTGGTGAGAGCCTTGATCTGAAGGGAGGGGCCTCAGATCAGCAGAGGCAGGTGTCCCAGGCCTTAACTGCAGCCAAAGTTAGGGCTCTCAGGCTGTACTTAGAGCCAAGGTAAGGACTCTGAATGAGCACTGAGGTCCCCAAGGAACCCAAGACAGAAAGGGCCCAGTTGAGCTATCAGCACTGAGTGCCCCCTGACAGGTTGCTACTTCACTTTCTCTTAGGTGGTCCCAGGGAGATGGGGACACTGGTTCAATGTGTCAAATTTAGAGCAGCACGGCGCAGGGGGAGGGGATGGAGATGAGACCCTGCCAACAGTTGACACAATGGTCCTGAATGTGAACTGAGTGGACCATCTACCCCAGAACAGAGGAGGCCCCACGGAGCCTAAACCTGCCAATCCCTTCTCTCAGCTCCAGTAAGCCCCAGGCAGGGTTGGCAGAATGCAGCCTAAGGCATACTCTTAATTACTTCCACAGGGTTCTCAGGGGACAGGCTGATGAGGAGCACAGGAGCCCTGTAGGTTTCTAGATTAATGTCTTCAAGTAAACCTGCAGAGGGTGCCTTCTTAAAGCCTAAGTGGTGTCTCCCTACTTATGGTGCTAACACTGTCTCTCCTCCCTCTTCCAGGGGGCCTACATCACCTGTTGTCCTGCTCACACTCCTGCCTGTGTCCCTGACCAGTCATGCCTCGCAGTCAGAAGAGCAATCTCTGTGTACGTAAGAAATGCCAGCAGAACCAATGTGAGACCAAGGTTCTCAGGGGTACTCAGTCCATGGCAACAGCAGAAGCACTCCCCTCCTCTTCCACTCCTCGTTTTCGGTGTACTAGCCAGAGAAAGCCTAGTGCTAAGTCATGTAGCACTCTTCAGGGGCCTCAGAGAGCTCTGTTCACCCCTACTTCTCCAGGTGCTTCATTCACAAGATCTTATCAAGGTGCCAACAACAAAGATAAGAAAAGGCAAAGTTCCTCCCAGGACAAACCATCCACTATCCGGTCCCGCAGAGACCCTGTAACCAAGAAGGTGGGTACATTGGTGCAGTTCCTGTTGCAAACATATAAAATGAAAAAGCTCATTATGAAAGAAGACGTGCTGAAGATTGTCAACAAAAAGTACAAGAACCGCTTCCTTGAGCTCCTCAGGAGGGCTTCTTTCAGCATGGAGGTGGTCTTTGGCATTGAATTAAAGGAAATCGACTCCATCAAGCACACCTATGCCCTTATCAGCAAAATGGACCTTCCTAACAATGGGATGCTGAGTCGTGGCAGGGGTTTGCCGAAAACTGGTCTCCTGATGACTCTCCTGGGCGTGATCTTCATGAAGGGCAACTGCGCCAGTGAGGAGAAGATCTGGGAATTCCTGAATAAGATGAGAATTTTTGCAGGGAAGAGGCACTTCATCTTTGGGGAGCCTAGGAAACTCATCACCCAAGATTTTGTGAAGCTAAAGTACCTGGAGTACCGGCAGGTGCCCAACAGTGATCCTCCAGGCTACGAATTTCTGTGGGGTCCCAGAGCCAAGGCTGAAACTACCAAGATGAAAGTTCTGGAGTTTTTGGCCAAGATCAATGATACCGTGCCAAGTGCTTTCCCATCCTGTTATGAAGAGGCTTTGAGAGATGAGGAAAAGAGAGCCGGAGCGACAGTTCCAGACCGGGCTGGTCCTACTGCTTTGGCCAGTGCAGTGCATGCTCCAGCGCCAGATCCAGCAACTCCTCCCATGCTTAGTGAAGTGTGAGGCAGATTCTTTACTTTGTGGTTGAAGAGGGCAGTCGGCGTTAGAAGTAGTGGAGGGTTGGGTGGGACTGGAGGGAACACAGTGCGTGATATCTTTGTTTCTGTTCTATATAGGTAACTTAGGAATTTATCTGTATCTTCTTTCGTTATCTTTCAAATACTAGTCCTTTCAAGTGAAGGCTGTTTTAGCAGTATAATCTAAGTTTATTAATGACATGAATCACACATTTAGCGATGTTTCTCAGGTTTAAGATAAAGAGCTTTGCTATTTTTGTAAAAAAACAAAAAAGGGGAAACATTCCATTTAAGTGATCTGCAGCAAGATAACATAGCATTGGAATAGGCATTTCTTAGAAATGTAAAGAACACAGCTGAAAAAAAATACATGGAATTAAGAAATAGAGAAAAAAGTAAGATGGTCACTATTTAGCTTTTAACTCGAAGGCAATGGGTTTGTTTCTTTTGGTTAATCTCTACGAGGTCCTATAAGGTCGCTATGAGTAGAAATTGACTCGAAGGCAATGAGTTTGGTTTGGTCTTTTAATCTCTTTTGGTCTATTATTAAATAAAAAAATGCATAACTGTATTTGCTTAACTTATTTAATAATGTAGTAGAAATTAAATTTTAATAAATTAGGAGCCCTGGTGGTGCGATGGTTAAAAGATCTGCTACTAACCAATAGGCCAGCAGTTTGAATCCACCAACCACTCCTTGGAAACCCTATGGGGCACTTCTACTCTGTCCTATAGGGTTGCTATGAGCCAGAATCGACTCGACAGCAATGGGTTTGGGTTTTTGGGTTTTTGGGGTTTTTTTTTTTTTGTCTTTTTGTTTTATTCACTCACTCATTTATCCCCCCAACATTAATTGAGCATCTGTTCTTTGGAAGACCAAGTGCTAAAGTTGGGAATGGTAAAAAAAAAGACCTAGCCACTGCCATAGAATTTTAGGGTCTAGAAGCAGCCATCATGTAATGAAGACAGTGTTATATAGTCTAAGACCTAAAAGGCAAGTAAAAAAGAGTGAGAAGGGGGAAGGTTTGAGATGAGAGTAGGCTAGTGTAAATGGCAGGAGGTGGGGCAATTTGCAGCTTTGGGACACTTTGATCTCTCAATGGCAGGTCATCTTAAGTTAGGCTTCATGGGGTAGGGGGTGAAGGGTTGGGGTTGGGAGGGGTGCCCAGGGCCAGACACTCCCATGATGTGTCTCCATGTGGAGAGGCTGAGCCTGGAATGGAAACCAGCTCTTCACAGTGACTCTGGGATTGTGGGTAAACCAGAGAGAAATCCTCACCTGGGGCAGGACTGGAAGGTGCCCTGTGTTCTTGTCCCAGTGCACTTGAACATATACACTGACTGGGTGTTTTATGTACATCATTTCTAGGAAGATTCTGAGAAATAGGGTGATACTCCCTTGAGGTAAGATGTCAAGAAGCCACTGTTCTGTTACTTTGTGTTGGGCTGAGGGAGCCAGAGCCCACTCCATTCAAGACATTCGAATTAGGTTATCCTGAGTATCTTTGGCAAACTCCAAGTGAAGACTAGATTTTTGGTGGTGGTGATATCAATGAAGCAGGGGTGACTTAGATGAAAGGGCAGCTGGGGAGGGGGAAGTTGTTGGTCTTTGACAAAAATTCTAAGAGCTTTGTGTTCCATCCAACTGGGGATGTCTACCCCCCACCCACATTAAAGAACATATTCCCTAATGTAAAATATTACCTAGTTTTCTTTCCTAAGCAGCATTTCCGCTGTTTTGGTTTTCTTTGTCCTAGAGCACTGCATATTTCACTGACAAATCCCAGAGAAGTGGGTGGTATCATCTGGGGTCAAAATAATCATAGTAATAATAACTGCCATTCTTTAAACACCCAAAATGTGCCAGGCATTGTGCCAGGTGCTTTACATGCATTACACACATTCCAGCAGTTTTACAGGATAGGGCTTCTCAGACTTAGCTGCCAGTGAAGAATTTGCTATTTTCTCATTTTCACAGCACTGGTAAGTGACAGGGCTGCCCTAGACCCACGGTCTGAATCCGTCTAGAGCCCATCGTGTTCCACTCCTCCAGCCTGAGGCAGACCTTGTGTCTCTTAAGTCGCTTCACAGCTCACTACTCCAAAATGTATCTCAAGGAATAAAAAGAGAAATTTTGTGATCAGTGTACTGGGTTGAAACGCTTAACCACAGCAATAAGCATAAAAAAGTAAATGAGTAAAGAAAAGCAGCTAATATTTGGGGACATTATGATCATCTACATATGCAGTGTCATCTTGGACAGCCCCTTTCCTTTAGAAAGTAAACCTTTTAGAACAGAAGTCAAATTAGATGCCAAGTCTGGCTGATGAAGTGACGGACTAGATCAGCATGTGTTTTCTCTGACAGCCCACCACCTAGCTGTCCTGGGCCCCTTGTCTTGTGCTGCAGCATCCCATCTCACATCACTCTGGGACAGGGACCCATTCTCTGCAAGGTGTACAGTAGGGAAACTTCTCAAGAGTTTGCCGGGATGTGGCATTTCTCAGGAGTCTTTATCCAAAAGACAGGAGTCAAGATGACACCTGTAAGTGAGGACTGGGTACCCCAACATGCCAGGCAGGGCTGTCAGGCTGAGCATCCCCTCACTTATTCTACAGAGTTCTCAGGGACTTGTGAGTCTTGGCCTAAAGAGGATGATGTCAGATTAGCAATGTGAGCAGTCCCGGCCTCTAATAGAATGTGAGGACTGTGAATGAGGAATGGTGGAAACACCCAATCAGTAGGGCCCATAAGATCCTGCCCCTGCTTCCAGCCCTCAGAGGCCCCAAACAGCCATGGCTAGATTTGGTTCAACCTAACTTCTACTTCGGAGGTCTTAGGAATGTGAAGACCTTGGTCAGAGGCTGGCAGATCAGGTCAGCAGAGAAGGGATTTTCAGATTACACCAGAAGTCAAAGAGAGGACCCTGACATCTATTGGAACCACACACACCGTATCAGCAGGAGCCCCACAGAATTCCTCTTTATTGTCAGCCCTAGGAGGCCTCAGGCAGACATGCCCTCATTCCTCCTTAGGGGTAAAAGAGAAGTGAGGTTTTGGCCTGAAGAAGGTGGTTCCAGTTCAGCAAAGGGAGGAATCTAAGGCCTCCCAGGAGTCAGATTTAGGACCTGAAGTGAGGACCCAAAGTGGAGACCACTCATCATAGGGCCTGAACCTGCTACTACAGAGTTCACTTTGGGAGACCATGGGCAGGTGTGGCCAGATAGAAAGATTGTCACTATCCCCTAATGGGTGTCAGGGATATGCTGGCCTTACTATGAGGAGGCAGGGCTCCGTTTAAGAGACAGAAGGGCCCTAGGCCCTTCCCAGTGTCAAAGTGAGGACCCTGAGTGAGGACTCAGGGATCCATCCACCCCTAAATGGAAGGAACAAGGCAGAGTCTAACGCTGCCCCTGCTTTCAGCCCTTGTAGGCCCAGGGGGTGGTATTGGGCTGTGGCCCTCTCAATTCTGTACATCAGGTCAAAGGGAGGAGAGATTCTTGGTCTGTATGTGCAGCCACTGGTCTGCAGAAGGAAGGAGTCCCAGCCCTTACATGGAGCCAGGTGAGGACCCTGAATGAAGACTGAGGTCTCCAAGGAACCCAGGACAGAAAGGGCCCCACTGCGCTGTCAGCACTGGGCGTCTACACCCTGCCTAGAGGGTCCCAGGGGGCTCTGATGCATCAAGTTCAGAGTAGTAGAGATGTCTTAGTCATCTAGTGCTGCTGTAACAGAAATACCACAAGTGGATGGCTTTAACAAAGAGAAATTTATTTCCTCACAGTAAAGTAAGCTAAAAGTTCAAACTCAGGGCATCAGCTCCAGGCGAAGGCTTTCTCTGTCAGCTCTGGAGGAAGGCACATGTCATCAATCTTCCCCTCGACTAAGAGCTTCTCAGTGCAGGGACCCTGGGTCCCGGCGCTGCTTTCTTGGTGGTATTAGGTCCCCAAGACTCTGCTCACTTCCCTTTCCTTTTATCTCTTGTAAGATAAAAGGTGGTGCAGGCCACACTCCAGGGAAACTCCTTTTACACTGGATCAGGGATGTGACCTGGGTAAGGATGTTACATACCACCCTAATCCTCCTTAATGTAATCTAATGTTGCCTCATTAACCACAGCAGAGATTAGGATTTACAACACATAGGAAAATTACATCTATCACAAAACGGAGGACAACCACACAACACTGGGAATCATGGCCTAACCAAGTGGACACATATTCTGGGGGGACACAATTCAATCCACGACGAGAGGGCAAGGGGCCCAAGCCCTGCCAACCATTGATATGATGGCCATGAAAGTAGACTGAGAGCACCCCTTGATTCCAGTACAGAGGAGCCCACTGCCAGTCCTTATTGTCACCCCAGCAAGCCCTAAGCAGGGATGGAAGGCTGCAGCTTAAGCCTCACCCTAAATTCCTCCAGAGGGTTCTCAGGACAGGTTGAGCAGGAGATCAGGAGACTTGTGGGTTCCCAGAGTAGTGTCCTCCAAGAAAAACTGTAGAGGTTGCCGTTGTTAAAACTAGGGTAGCATCTCCCTGCTGAAGGGGCACACACTCTCTCAGCCTCCTTCCTCCGCTGGGCCCGCATCATCTGCCCTCCTTCCACACTTCTGCCGGCTGTCCTTGACCAGAGTCATTATGCCTCTAGGTCAGAAGAGTAAGATTTGTGCCCATGAAAAAGCCCTAAGTGATGTCCAGGGTCTCAAGGGGGCTCAGGCCATTGCAGTAGAGGAGGAAGGGTCCCTCCCTTCCTCCTCTCCTCCTTTTGAGGGCTCTCCCCAGAGCTCCCCTGCAGCTCACATTTCCCAGGGTCCTCAGAGAGCCCCATCCACCACCACTGCTGCTGCAGGTGCTTCAGGCACAAGAGCTAATGGGAAAGGGGATTTCCTAAGAACAGGTTCTTGATGCCTCTCCTGGGCATGATCTACACGATGGCAACTGGGCCACCAAGGAGAAGATGTGGGAATTCCTGAATGTGCTGGGG